AATTCTGATGGTGGCATCTCCACCCCTTGCAATCATATAACCATATTTTGGATGCTTGGCAATCGTCTCATCTGTATAGCTGGTTGCACTGATTTATTACTTTTTTTCAGGCAAACAATGGCTATAGAAATGCATTGACTTGTTTATCAGTCACAGCAATCACTTAATAACCACCACAAAAAAGGCATAAAAGGAGGTTGGTCATATAGGTTCTTTGACTTGCAACCATCAAGACTTTCAATGGAAATTGCAGGCTCCATTACAGTCATAAGTCCAGGATTACGTGTAATAGCATTTGATTGATAAGACCTGCATTATCATTGTCACCTTAGGGACCACAGCATGAAAGTTTATCAACCCGTTGGCCAGTACTATGCTTAGTATACACAGCTGTAGAACTCACTTATTGGCCTGGTGATGAATGACGAATTAACCAGCCTTATGTTTCCGTGATAAGAAAAAATGGGAGGAGACCTGTGTTGTTATAGTACTGAAATTTATTGATGTTCCTCCAATCTTTTCTTTGGTTTTTAATTCTTCAAGTTGCCACTTCCTCATGACCAATTTGGGATAGAGTTTGAACAAGAAAGGTGAAAGAATGCTACCTTGTTGCAGTCCTTTCTCTATCTTGAACCAATAAGTGTCTCCATATGATGTTTGCACTGTGACTTCTTGATTTGTGTACAGCTACTGTACCAACTGAACTAGATGTGTTGCTATCACCAAATCTTCTAAGGCTCTCTACAGCTTGTCATGATCAAGAATTGATGATGCTGTCTTTTTGCTGTTGCATAATTTTACTCAGTTTATTATTTGATCCACAGTTAATACCCAGATATATCTTGGCACTGAGGATTGAACTGGACCATTCATAGCTGCATAGAACATAGCTGATTTGATTATGGTGCCATTTATTTGGTGCAGTTCAAATGTATAAGTGATGCTTGTGCTATTTGAACCAGGTATTCATGATTCAAAATAAAATTTCAAGATAAACTGAAACAAATGATCATCTGTGCCTTTCCTTTTCCCAAGTCCAAAACTGCATTGAAATCACCCAGTTCATAAACCATGTCTTTTGGGGGAATTTGCTTCAGAGTTATTTCAATGCTGATATCAAAACCCTCTATTTGCATCAGTTGTTGGGGTATAGACGTTTACAACTCTGATTTTGAGGAGCTTAGCACAGATTTGGATGGTTACAAGGCTATTATTAACTGTTGAGAAGCTGTCCACTGCTTGAGTGGTTTCTTATTTGTGATAAATGCCAACAATCAATTTGCTTTGCTGGTATCATTATCCAAGTAACAGATAGTGAATTCTTCAGACTGGAAATAGCTTTGTCTATCCAGTGTAGCTCATTGACCCAAGGAGGTTGATTTTCAACTCAACCATCTCCCATTTGATAATATCCAATTTACCTTGGCTCATTCCTTGAACATGCCACGTTTCTATCTCAGTTCTTCATACAGTGCAGACCCTTCCTTTCACCAATGGCTGCATCAGCATCTGGGATTCCTGCTGGATGGTTAGGTACATCATTAATGCCTTGACTACTCACTACAGGTCATAAATAGCATACCTGCTGGCAACTCATTCAATCAAATACATCTTTCCCTGGAATCAACCAACACAATGCCAAGAAAAGACCTAGCTTCTTAAAATATTTGTTGACATGTTACACCTGTCCCCACAGGCTTCAAATCACCTTTTCCTTTTTGAATCCAGATTACTGCACAATTCTGATAAATAAATGAAAGTATTTTAAACTGTTACAATGTGATGGCAGCCTTCATCTCCAAGCGTTTGAAATATAACAATAAGATGTTTCACTGGATTTGACCATGAAGTGTAGGCGATTCAACATGTTAAGTTTCATTTATTATTAATAAAAAGAATACCCAAACTCTTGGGAGCCTCCCAAGAGAGACTTGGAGTGTAAAAGCTAAGGTGTAGAAAGATTTTTTTTAAAAAAAAAATGAGATGTCTGTTTTTATCCATAACTATTAAGGCACTTTGGCTGAATATGAATTGCATAAGACTGCGTGTCTTGGTAATACTGCTTTTATTTATAAAAGAAGCCTTCATGGCTATCTGTTCTCTTGTTAATTCATTAACTCCACTTCTATCTCCCTTTCACTTCAGGTGCTTTTTTGTTGACCAACTTTTCCATCCATAGCAGGTTATACTGCTATGCTGTCTCTGAAATATGAAATATTCCATATTGAGACCAGATATCTAAGGGGAAAAAGGTCCTTTGATTTCTCTTCTCCTCCTGGGTCTTTTTTTGCCAACATAACAGATGAGAACAACTCCCTTTCTACCCTGTATTCTGTTACTTATCATTTTAAATATAGCATGATGCTAGGGAAAAGCAGGCCTTATACAGTAACTCACACCTCGTACACCGAATACCATGGTTATAGAATTTGGTAGTCAGCTTTGGAATTAATTCATTTTGAGCCTCTAGTGCTGGAAAGAGAAACCTATTCTTTTTTAGCCACTTTTTTGTATATATGTACAGTATCTGCAGGGATACACTGAGCAATATTTAAATGAATAGAACTAATTTGCTTCTCCAGCATACATTCCCTAATCTTGCTAATATCTACTAGAAAACATCTCTCTCTCTCTCTCTCTCTCTCTCTCTCTCTCTCTCTCTCTCTCTCTCTCTCTCTCTCTCTCTCTCCTTTTTTTTCATTGTGGAAATAAACATTGCAAACTGCTGAAAAATATGGGTGATTACGTTCTTTATAGCAGTGCTCATTTCTGATCCTCAGAGCCCTGGATTTGATTATGTTAAAACAAAATTGCTTTAAGAGTGGAACTATTTATGTTTATTTAAGAATGAGTATAAATTAAACCTCTGTGTTCTTGTGAGCACACTTCTAGTCTTGTATCATCCAATCTATTAGTTTGTTCTCAGATATGTTGTTTTTAAATCCCCTTTGGTTATCTGTCAGATGCCTTGTTGATAACCCCTTAATCTCTTTAGCCAGGACAGGGTTATCTGCATGCTTGAAAGAATAGAGAAAATGGAGTGGAGATATAGTAAATGCTTCCCAGGCAGCTATATTAAAGAAGTGGTGATTAGATCATTTTTCTTGTTTCATAAATAAAAATTAAAAACTATTTCCAAAGAATGTGAGGGAATGAGGGAAGGAAGATTCATTTTCTATCCTTTTGAATGTATTACATTCTTATTAACTAAATCCTTGCCATCTCAAGTTGGAAAGGGGCATTTTATTATCCCTAATCTGAATTTGTGATAGAAGATTCTGCTTTAACCTGATCTTCAATCTCAGGGATAATTCCTTTGTGATATTCTTGGGCACAAATAGTCTTTCTGATTCTAGCCATCTATGCAAACTCCAGGCAGGATTAAAATTCCTTTTCAGAGAATTAAACAACAGCAAAAGGAATCAATTGTTCCATGTTGAAAAAGGCTGGTTAAGATTTCATCACAGAATATTATAAAGGGAGTTCTCCCTCCCCCATCCTCCACAAATCCTTTTTTTTTTTTTTTTTTTGCAGCAGGGAAGAAACAAATAGGTAGTTGAACTATTACGTAATTTTGTTTTTAAACCTGGTGAATCATTGTGGCATTTATTTTCATAATATTTATAAAATATTTAATTTTTAGTTTTTGTATATATTTCTCTGTCAGACACAGGAGTTCACTGTTTTTCAAAAAATAACTTCCCTTCTAATCTGATGATTGGGGAGGGGCTGATCTTTCTTTGACAGAAATTTTCTGCCATATCTATTAAAAGTGCTTGAAATCTTAGCCAATGTCATATGGGTACATTAGTACTGCACATATCATTCATAGGGGAATTTCATGAAGTCACCAAGAAGTCTCTCCAAACTTACTACTCAAAGCATCATAGTACCTCATCCTTACCTGATGGTTCAGGATAAGGTGCTTCAATACCTTTTGCTTATGGTAACATTAAAGAAGAATATTTGTAGCTCAGGGTTGAAAATGTGGGATCCTCGGTGCTCTCTGAGTTTAGTTGTTTTCTTGCAGATATTTCATTACCCAAATTAGGTAACATCATCACTGCTAGCCCCCCTTTTGCATCTGCTCAGCAGCAAACCCAGTATAAACATTGAAGTATTATTGGGGAATACATCCTACATTATGTCAGTCTTGTGGAGCTTTAAAATTTTAGTGAAGATGTGTGCAAGTATGCATTAAAGTCCTTTGATCTACTAATCTTTTGATGATTAATCATCCATGTGTAGAACAGGCAGTCCAGATGGAAAGGAAACTGACTGTAACAAATGTTGTACTCTTGATAATGAATACTGCATTCAATATAATTAATTTACATAAAGATTTCTATATTGCCAGTCACCTTATCCAATATAACTTAGTCTGATATTTATATTGGTCCCTTTATTAACTTTGTGTAGGGACATATGAAAAATACATCTTTCTCAAAAGTTTTGTCCAATATAGATAAAGGAGTGGTTGTTGATGGAATGGTTAAAATGTTTTTTTTTTCTTCTGAAAATGCTGGATGTTTTAAGATGAGCCTTCTATTTGCAAACTGCCTGCATTTTTCTATTTCTTTTTTTAACCAGGAAAAGATCAATTAAGTGGAAAAGATCGACTTCCTTTACAATGTCATTTGATTGCTACTGCCTGGAACTCTCCATCTGAAAACACCAAATTTGCTTTCTGGCATGCACATATTTCTGTCATTTAAAACCCTGAGATGTAATTGAAAATTGTTTGTGTTATTTGACAGGTAGATTGACACAAAGAGATCCAATTGTTTATTAAGGAATGCTTCTAATTTGTGAGGTTTCTTAGGCTAACTCTCCCCACCCCCAATTTTCCTCAACATAATAGAACTGTTCATCATAGTTTGGAGTTAATAAAGCTTCTGTTTTAATCCTGATACAACCATGCTGAAGCACGAAGGCCTTGCTTTTTGCCATTTTCACTGCAGCTCACCTTTTTCTTTGTTTGCATTGCTTATTGATTCCAGGGGTTATTCTGTTACTTCTGGATAAATTGCGCAAGATGAAATGGGAGCAGATGTGGAGACTCACAGCTGAAAGAGAGCTAATGAGCATGCTCTCCACCTCATTGGCCGACCAGGTGAGTGTGTGCTGACATCAGGATTACCCCTGAAAGTAGGGAATGGAAAGAGAAGTCTTACCACGTACATTACAGAACTTTTCCAGCCAATGTTGATGGTTCACTGCAGTGACTTACAACCATGTTTAGTGACCATTCAAAGTTATGGCAGTGCTGAAAAAAGTGACTTATGACCGTTTCTCACATTTCCAACCATCACAACATTCCCATAGCCTCTTTATCAAAACTCAGGTGCTTGTCAATCAGCAGGTATTTACAGTGGTTGCAACTCAGGTGATCTCCATTTGCAACCTTCCCAGGCAAGTTTCAACAAGCAAAGTCAAAAGGGGAAGCTGGATTCACTTAATAACAGTGCGATCACTTAACTACCAAACCAAAAAGGGTCATTAAAATCAGGTGTGACTCTCATAGCGATGGAGATTCAGGTCCCAATTGTAATCATAAGTCAAGCAGTACCTGTACATGGATTTTTCTAAAAATGGATGCTTGCTGGTGTGAGAACAACAAATCCAACTTTCCCAGAATAACCAGAGTGCTGATACAGATTATATAAGCAAACTATGTTGACGTATTGGAAGTAGCTTTCAAGAAGCACGCTTTTGTCAATTTGTAGGTATTCAGGGTGAAATCTTTTTAGGATAGGAATTTTACAACTTAAGAATCATTTAACTATTTAAATATTATATGCTATTTTCTCTGTTGGTCACTATGCTGTTTAAACAACTTATGAACAAAATAATTGAGAATGAATCATAAAATTGTAGTAAATTGTTTTTGAAAAGCATAATGTACAGATGAGGGAAGTCTTTGGCTTGATCTAGCTTTTTTTTTAAGCCTATTTTCTGCTCACCTTCAGGAGCCCCCCTTTTAGAAATGGAAAGCTGCAGACTTTGAAGAAGCTTTAAAAGTATCATTTTCTTCTATATTAGTTTTGCCATTGTCAGTTCGACAAGCGTTCTTTATGATTTCGCCTGTCTCCTACTTTAATAATCACCTTTGTCTTTTTCATTTTCTACCATATCATCTGAGTGCCTCACAGACATTAAGGATATTATCCTCAGAGCACACTTGGGAGTTGGAGACGATTCATTACTCCATTTTTTCAGAAAGGATACAGATATGTGAAGCAATTAATGTTCTGATACAAAATCGATCAAAATCTGTTTCAAAACTCCTAAGTTCAGCTACCATTCCAAAATAATTTCCTTCTGCACAGTTTGTGGAAGGCCACTGTTACTACTCCAGAGTTCATATGTATAAATTTAATTTGGCTTTCAATTTGCCTTTTAAAAATTATATTTTAGGATGGGAACTCCTGCGCTGAGCTGAAGAAATGAAGTGGCATCTGAGCTTCATTTCTGTAACCAAAAGTAACCGTTCCACTTCCACTTCCAGGCATGGAGCAGAGAGGAAATCTTTGGGCAAGCAGGGGCAGTTTGCGACCTTCCCTGCCAGCTTCTCCACTGACTTTCTGGGGAAGTGGCAAAGAAGATTGCAAATGAAGATCACCTGACCATGGAGCATTTGGCGAGCAGTCATAAGTGCAACATGTTGCCAAGCACCCAGATCACAATCATGTGACTCCTGGAGTGGCTGGAGTGACGTTTTACAATGACCAGAAGTGCTTTGTGAAATGTTGCGTGGTCATTAAACAACTGGTCATAAGTTGAGGATCCCCTGTACCTGGCAAGATTATGCTACAACTTCCAAAACAAATTTATTTTTATCTTTCCCTTCTTTGAACAAATTATGTCTAAATGGCTGATATCTTCCAACAGTGTCAGATGTCAGAATACCATCACAAAAATCTCCCCAATTTTATTGAATATGGCAACATATCTGTAATATATATTTTAATGCCAAATTAAATATCTCACATTATGCTTATTAGATGGTTTAATTGTAAAAGCATAATTGGTTCGGTGATGTTGATGTTCCTCAAGAAAACACTATGACATATCCTGTGTCATGAGAGCTATTTTCCATATAATCTGTTTTTTATTGATATTTCACTTATTTAGGAAATTTATATAGCCATCCGTCTTAAAACACAATTCTCCTTGGCTCGCAACTCTTTATTCCAGTATTTGTATCTGCCTCATTCCATAGATTTTTGACAGTTCTCATAAATTTATAGCTCTAGAGTAACTTAGAGCCTTAGAGAGAGGCTATCCAGACTTTGGGATTGGGCAAGCTTCTCCAAAGACCTGAAACAGCCAAGGAGAACTCCTACTTTTTATTTCCAAGAGTCTAACATTTTGAAAGGAAAATGTATTTGAAGCATTCCTTCCTTAAAAGATTGCACAGCACAAAGGACAGGTGACTTGAAGATGTTCCAAAAGTATTCTGTCCAAACCATACAAAGCTCTATAGGTGAAAACAGCAGAATTATATCCAGAAACACAGGTATCCAATACAATGCTTAGAGTCTTGATGAAATATTCCTGTAAGAGCTCATACCCATCAGCAGTTTGAAGTTTTCAAGTGAAAAACATAACTTTTTCTTGATAGAGCTTCCCAGGCAAAAAACTTTTGGGCCTTTAGCAATTTAGCTAAGATTTTCTTGGCTACAGCCGCCATTTTCTGATCAAGTAGAAACCATGAATCAAAGAGGATCGAAGATTGTGGAACTGCAATTCCTCCCAAAGCCAAATAACAAGTTCAAAATGAGCCAGATGATTTTTAGAATAGACCGCAATTCCACCTTAATAATAAAAATAAATTGAGCTACTTTTATTCCAGCCAGTCCCCAACTTCCAACACTGGTTAAGAAGATACATTGTATCTCCTGCTTAGCCTGTTGTGAAAATATACAGGTCGGTATATCATCTGCATATTGGTGAAACTTCACTCTGAACTGATGAATTACCTCCGGAACTACCAAATGAGAATAATTAGAACCATTGCAAAATAGCCCCAGACCTCAAAGATAATCTACTGTGGTTGATGAGTTCCATAACTGCTCAGTGGTCTCAAAATCCCAAAAAAACAGTATTCCTTCCACTCACAAGTTATTCATAAAGTTTCCAGTTTTCATCACACAACCAGATCAAAGTTTAACTGAAAAGCTTCAAGATAACCTGCTTTATCCAGAGTCTCAGTAAATGATATTTCATAAAAAAAATCTCTGAAATCTTTCTTAAACAGGAAATGCTAGAGACTGGACGATTGTTGCCCAATATTGCAAGATAAGAAAATGAGTTATTCTATTATTTTTTTCCTCTTTCTAGGAAAAAACTGTAAGCAGTGATATATGTAGGCCAGTGTTTCTCAACCTTGACAATTTTAAGGCATGTGGACTTCAACTCCCAGAATTCCACAGCCAGCAATGCTGGCTGTGGAATTCTGGGAGTTGAAGTCCACATGCCTTAAAATTGTCAAGGTTGAGAAACACTGATGTAGGCACTGTTTCATTACTTCTGCAATGTAATGGGTTAGGATCAATCACTTTTTCCTACCAAGTATTCTACATATAGTGCTAAATGATAGGTTGGTGGGAAAGTAGACAGTCAAAAAGATAGTGCTTTTCCAATAGATACCAAGATCCTTGTAAAAAAGTTTCAAGTGAGGCAGCCTTGGTTTAAATATGAGGGTTATATATGGAATTCAATTTAACTGTCTGGTCTGAAAAGTATAATCTTATAATCAATACCCATTCTGAACTGAAGGCAGAAGTGATTGAAGCATTTTGGATTAACTATTAGCTTTGATGATATTTAATCACATACTGCATTTCCAGGATGATACATATCTAAGTACCTGTATATGTTTTATCTGACCATATTTTGTTTTTTACTCCCCCCACATTCCATGTCTTTTTAGCTTATTTTGTTATCCTTTTTTATTCAAAGTATGGCTTTTTTGCAATGTTCTCTGAATTTTCTTCCTATTCAACACCACCACCACCATCATTATCAACAAAAAAGTGATAAATATCCAAACTCTCTATTATTTCTTTCAAATTTATCACTTTTTTCCTCACACTGTTGAAGAGATACCACTGATAATATATTAGATTACTGTTGGACCTTATGCATAAGTATATTTCATGATAGCTGAGAAGCTTCAGCGGAGTCAGAACTCCACTACTTTGATTCTGAGTAGTGTGTCAAATGAGGCCACTATATTCCTTCACTAAAATTCTGAAAGAATAGCATTGCTTTTTAAGCCTAACCCAAGGCTCATTATTAAAGCCCACCTGAAGCCGAAATAACCAAACTCAAATTATCATATTTAGAACACATTATGCAAAATTCTAGCTCTCTTGAAAAGTCTATAATGCTGGGAAAGGTGGGAAAGAGATGGCTATATAGAGGAATACAGAGTTTGCCTTCAAGTAAAGTGAACTCTACCTAGGAAAACAGTGAAGTGTGTTTTCCAAAAGAAAACTCAAGATTGGCCTGCTTTGACTGTGTTTGGTATGAAAGAGAGGGAAAGGGAAGCTCTGTCAGATTTTCTATGGTTATAGCCTATATCAGTGATGGCGAACCTTTTAGAGACTGAGTGCCCAAAAACTGGCCCCGCCCCCTGCTCCACCCCCTGCCCTGCCCTCACCCCGCCTGCCTGCAGGGCCACTCACTGCCTCCAGGGCCCGCCGCAGATTGCCCAGGCAGCCCAGCAGCGCCATGGCAGCCACGCCCTCTGCCGGCGTCCCACAGCATCAACTGTGCATGATGGGGGGTGAGGGCAGAGTCTTGTCTACGCTGCCTGGCTGCCATGTCCTTGGCTGCGCTGCTCCGCGTGGGCCACGCTCAGGGGTGACTCCTCCAGGGGGGCTGCTGGTGAGGGGGTCTCAGGGGGAGTCAAGGCTGGGGCAATGGCACGTGTGCCCACAGAGAGGGCTCTGAGTGCCACCTCTGGCACCCGTGCCATAGGTTCGCCACCACTGGCCTACATCAACAACATTCTAGTATTTGTGATGTCTGTTTTCCAAGCTGGTCTAAATCAAATGACTGACAGATGAATTCATAGTGCAACAAATATACCCAATGGAAGATCTGAGGGATCCAGGCTAGAAAGAGATCATGCTGGAGAATATCTCTTTGGTTGTTAGGAGTCAGCACCAACTTGATGGCATACAGTATAACTAGTCAAACAATGTGGAAAGTCAATATCTAAAGAAATAGTGTTCCTAATAATCAGAAAGGCCCTTATCTACACTCTTCTGTTAGAAGAAGTATATTATTAAACTTAAAAAAAAGATTTTTCTTTATGGGACACTGCAAAATTGGATGCTCTCACTAGGGAAATATAGTAAGGATTAGGGTAGATCCTTTTAGCTCCAAATTAAAACACACCTTTTTACCTTTAAAAAGCAATATTGAATATATTGAAGCTCTTGTTTTTAAGTTGTTAATGCAGTTAAATCTAGATAAGTTTTAATTTATTATGGTTTGTTGGTTGATCCTTCTTAGTTTGCAGTTTGATGCTTTTAACCTCAAACGTTGCTATAAAATGTTTTTTTTATCTTTGATTATGAAGATACAGTATTCAGATCTGATAGTGACATAATGTATGTGGGCAGGTTTTAACAACCATGACAAGGAAAGGAGTAGGCAGCTTTGTTTTATAGTTAGTCTTTCTTGAGAACCCAACAGCTGTCAAATGTGAATCAGCAGCAAAGTTCCAGGCTATATTGACAAATATAGTGTAGGACTGACAATTTTTTCTTTCAAAACTAAAACACCCAAATCTTGACTTTCAATTCTTAGTTATTTTATTTATTCAATTTATTTGCTGCCCATCTCATAGTGAATGACTCTGGGCAGCCTCCAGCATTAAAACATTAAAATCCTAACACATAAATATCTTTAAAAGAATAAAAATAGAAATCCCAATCAAGATAAATTATTGTTCAAAGATGGGGAGTTATAGTTTATCCACATTTTTATTATAATTATAAAGACAGCTTGCAACATGAAATTGCTTTTCTGCAAGGTGAAAAATGTTGTTTGTCTGGTTGTTTGTCTTTCTAGGACATTTTCAATGCAGTCATCAAACAGAATCCCTTTCTTGTCTATCAGCTTCCCTGTTTCTGGAATGTCCAATTGTCAGACCACACCCGCTCTGAACAATGCTACCGGGATGTTTCTGATCTTAAGGTAAGTTTTAGTTGATGGACTGACTAATAATAACCAGCTCTGCATATGGGTAGAGAGATTAATATATCTGATTTGTTTTACTTTTGTATATACTTATTCACAAGTGTTTTCTACCAAATTTCCTCAACATTAAAATTAAAACATACTATAGTTTTAATTCAACTTCCCTAATATATGCATTTTGTATGCAACCATCTTTAATATATGCCTTTTAATACAAGAGTTGCATTACAAAATATATTATTTTAGCATTATAGGAACAAACGTGGATGTCATGTAAGCATTTGTATTTGTGTAAGAGGAAATTATAAAAGTATGGATAAAGCATTTTAGAATGATATATAAGTGAGTCAGAGGTAATTAACCAGACTTTCTTCCCTCTCTTTTATAAATTTATGGCACAAAACCTAGAGATGTCTTCAGCTCCAGGAAAGAAAATTGCTTATTAAAACTATTTGAAACTGGAAGCACCTGCAGGGTCCAATGCTTTCATCACAATGAGAACACAGCATCATTGCCATTGCAATGGAAGCTCTGCTCATTTTTAGATATGTGCACAAATACGACACACATACAAAAGGGCTGACTTTGCATTTTAATAGTATGATCTTTGCATTTTAATAGTATGATGTTGCTTTTGTTATTTGCCATCGTCTCTCGATCAAAGCAATCTTCAGTTTTATGTGTGAATAAAATGGAACCAAAAGAGAATATCACCTCTTTGACACCTTTATAGATCAAGGTTTATGCCTATTAACATATAGTCATTTTCACGTGTACTTAGAGGAAGTAACACTGTTCAGTGAGAATTGTTTCTAGGTAAGTAAGCAATGCAATGGTTTACTGTTCTTACGCTTTAAAAGTGGCTGGACATGGGATATTAAATGTAATTATTGCCATCTTGTTACCATCTTGGGTGTTAGCTTAGAGCTTAGAGCACTTCTTTCTTTGGAAAATGGATGAATAGATTAAATAAAACATATTTCATAGAAATGATCATATTATAGGTAGTCGCCAACTTACAACTGTAATGGAGCCCAGAATTTCAACTGTGACTCATGACGGTCATACATCAAGGCACCCATGTGTCTGACTCAATTTTACAACCTTTTGTAGAGTTCATGAAGTAAATGCCATGGTCATAAAGAGAATGCTGTGGACATTAAGGGAATACTGCAATCATTGAGCAAGGCAGTCCGTGCCTATGAGCATTTTTTGCCAGAAACTGTCTGAAAAGGTTGCCAAGCACTCGAAATGTGGTCATGTGACTGCAGGGGATTGCTGCCATTGGAACTCCAGAACCAAGTTGTAACTACCTTTTGGGAGGGCATTGTGACTTTGAATGGTCCCTAATCAACAGGTCATTAACCAAAAATTACCTGTATTTCTGCTAGATCATGGACTCTTTCTCAAACTTTGGCATTATTGCTGCTCCAGTAATGATATTGCATGCAGTAGGATTTTCCAGATCCTGAAAAATGTTTTCCACTTAAAAACCATAGATAAATTTTGGAAAATTTACTAAATAAAATATCCTTATGCTTAGATATCTATAGATAGAACCATAGGGCTGTAAGGGGCCTTGGAGATCTTCTAGTCCAAAGACAAATGGCTGTCCAATCTTTTCTTGAAAACTTCCAGCAATAGAGCACTCTCAACTTCAGGAGACAAGCTGTTCTATTGATTAATTGTTTGCACTTTCAGAAAATTTCTCCTTAGTTCTAAGTTGGATCTCTCTTTAACGAGCTTCCATCCATTGCTTCTTGTCCTACCCTCAGGTGCTTTGGAGAATAAGTCAACCACCTCTTCTCTGAAACAGATTCTCAAGTATTGGAAGACAATTATCATATCACCCCTAATACTTCTTTTCAGTAGGCTAGACATACCTAGGTCCCTTAACCATTCATCGTACAGTTTAGCCTCTTATCTTTGTTGACCTTCTCTGCATTTTTTATAGGATCTTACACTCTTTCTCAGGTCCTAACGCCTTTTTGTAATGTGGTGACCCAAACTGGACACAATATTTCAAGTGTGGCCTCATTAGTGCAGTATAAAGGTGTACTATCATTTCTCGTGATTGTGAAGCTATCCCTCTATTAATGCAGCTAGGATTGCTTTGGCTTTTTTGGTAGCTGCAGCACACTGCTGGCTTATACTTAAGTGATGGTCCATTAGGATACCAAAATACTGCCATAGTTATTACTGTTGAGCCAAGTACCATCTATTCTATATATGTGCATTTGATTTTTCCTGCCTAAGTGCAAGACCCTATTTATCTCACCACTGAACTGCATCTTGTTAGATCATGTACACACATTAGTATAGGATTGCGATCCCCAACCGTTGCGACTTGGTGATCCAGCTGGGGGGGAGAGGGGAACTGGGCCACGTGAGTGGTGGGCTGGCACACGCACTCATACAGCTCGACTTGCATGAGTCATGGGCCAGCCTGCATACACACAAGTGCCCGCCAGCCCACTACTTGGGCAAGTTGAGTTGTGTGCGCGTGCTGGCCCATCACTCATGTGGCCCAATTCCAAATAAGCCACAACCCAGGGGTTGGGAACACCTGGTATAGGACACTGCCATGCACAAACAAAACAGTGGGATCTAGCTAGGAATGTAAACACATTTTGTTGTTAACTCTCACATTCTGCTCCTAACAGACCCCCCAGTGGAATAATCACTACAATCAAGACAACTCTGACCAGATTTCATTTCCCAAAAACAAAATAATTGGGGCAAGGAAGATATTGGGAGATGGTGCACTTATTTTATCATATTTACAAGCTGCAGAAATATCTAGGTGTCTTTTTAAAAATGTAAACAACATGGATTTTCTTCAGTGATGGTTCTGGACTCCCCAAGTTATTTTTGCAGGGTATTATGCAGTCAAATAAGAGTTGCTGTTGAATAAAAGGCTTGCACCCATGACAAAAATAGTCATTGTTAAGTCATAAATTAAGTATAACTCCCAAAAGCTGTCTGAGAGCCAGATCATAATACAAATTGACTAAAGCAGTAGAAGAGGGGGGATTTTTATAAATGTGCATACTCTTCATATTTGCAATATGAAGTAAGTACAACCAAAGTAATTTTATTCTCTTTATATACTTTTGATGGGGGAAGTGGAAAGGAGAAAGGGATCAAGCTCTTCCATATTTGCACTATAAGCTAATGGGATAACTGCAAATTGCTTTACATCTCCAACCTAGTGTCAGTGCAGAGAATGATAAAACAAAATAAATCCCTGTTCTATAATTATGCTTAGCATCACTGAGTGTCTCACAGAAGTCATGTTAAGGTCTATTTTTGAAACAGAACTGCAGCTTAAAGTTGTTGCTTCATGAGCGGGACTCTATGGATCATATTAAGCTGAACTGATCAGTTTCATCCAAGAATAATTTCACTTGTGGATCTGCCCTACTTGTATCAAGAAATATATATCTATTAGTTTAATAGGCAGAGTCACTGGTGCATACGTGTGGTCCATGGGGGGGGGGGGAAGTGGAGTTGACATATTTAGCACAAGCTTGATTTTTAAAACAAAAATGTGAAAATTAAGCAGTTTCAATGACATTTAAAATAAATGGCCCGATATAGTATATTTGGCACATTCAGTATTTCATACTGATTCCAGCTGGAGTGAAGAATAATGTAGAAGAAACCTCCAAGGGATAGGAAAGAAAGAGATGAATAGTACATGTTGGCATTAGAAGATTAGGAAGGATTGTGTGGGGGGAAAAGAACCATAAAAGTTTTTAAATTCCAAACTAAGCTCAACAAGATCTTAGCATTCCTTAAATCAAACAAAACCAAATTATTCCTATCAAGCAAAAAAGGCACCAACTTAATTTCGTCTGGCCCCAAGATCACAGGGACTTGGGAATTTGTCAACATTATCAAAGTATTCTATTTCAAAGTTAACTATCATAAGTGGCTGTTGTTCATTTATATATATATTTCTCTGTTGCTTTGCTCGTAATTTTGAGCAATGAATGCTTTTGTATGAGACGAAGGAGGGCAACTTGAGACCCCAGAACCAGCCCTCTTGGAGAGCGTTGGGGGGAGGGAGAAGACTTAATATCCTAGCCCTCACCGAGCACAAATTCCAAACATCACAATTTCCTGTTATTTTGATGTGGGAAAGACATAAATACTACTGTATAAGCTTTAAAATAGTAAAATAAATTAGAATAGCAAGCATAACTAACACCCCAAATATCCCCATCCAAAAGAAAAGAAAAAAGAAACTGTCCCCATGCATTACAGAGCTTTGTTTCATCTTGTGTGGAATGTTGTTGTTGTTGTTCAGTCATTAAATTGTATCTGATTCTTCGGGACCCCAAGGACCATAGCATGCCAGCTACTCTCCCTCCTCCTCCTCCACTGTTTCCTGGAATTTGTCCAAATTCATGTTCATTGCATTGATAACACTATTAGTTTTTGAGGCTCAAAAGGGATGGGGTTTGGGGTTTTTCTTTTTGATTTTTTGAGTCTCCAGATAGTAAACTGTGTCCTGAATATCTTTCGAAATGCTCCAAATGTTTAGGAAATCGTTGCAGAAGAAAGTGATTTAATTAACCATCCAACTGAAGCAATGTCCCTTCACTTTTTGGTTGTGGGTTGTTGGAATAGTCCTTCAGATATTTACAAAACCCTTTTTCATAATTAAGGAACATTTCCTCTATGAGCACATGAAATTTAAGAGGACTTAGATTATACTCTGAATCTCAGTTCGCGTAGCCAAACTCCTCTCTGTTTTGAACAGCCTCCCAAAGAAACAAACAGTTTTTCCTTCCACAGCAGCCCATTACTTCTCAGATCACTCTAATTTCTGGCAAGGTTTGCTTTTCTGCCTCTGCTGCCTTAGCTTGCTTACTCCGTGCTAGTCTTCTTGGCTTCCCATTTACTTGTAACAAGAGCTGCCTTATGTGGAACAAAGGCATTGATTTCTCTCCACTTCCTTGGTCACTTCTCAGACTTCGGTTCCTTTGGAC